ATTAGACATTGTAATGGCATCACGACTTTTTGGTCACCCTGTATTTCTGTTCAATCGACATATTTTTGACTCTTTGAACTTTGAATTTCAAACCAAATTGGTTGGTAAACGTAGGTTAAAGCTGCCAGTGGAAATGTATCCTTTACAAAACCTGCTGCTGTTCTGATAATTTGATTGGTGACAATGGTCAAAATCTGAAAAAACCTGGGCTTTAATTTTTCAACACAGCCTCTGTAAGCCACTAAAGGGGGTCTTAAATTTTACAACCCTTTCATCAGCCTAGTAAATTATATTAAATTTGAACAATCATTAATTTTGTTACCTTTATTTCCCAATCTCCCAATGTGATACTCATTGGCTTGTTTTGAATACATTGCCAATTAAAGTCAACCCCACTAAATTGCACTTGTTTTCTGCCATTGAACTATGTATCTCTATCTTAGAAGAAAGCAAACGGGTGAAAGGGTTGTTGTGTTTGTTAAAAATTCATAGAAATGTTTTTATTGATGGTTCTGTGACGAATAGTATGAGCACAGCTATTGCTATTTGGTTTAAAATTATTGTGATGTTTGTTTCCAGCTTAAAAGCATTTTAGGATAATGTCATGTATTATGTGTAGCAAAGATGGGTTTTGTGAAATATTTTCTGCACATCATCAATCTATTTGCTTTTGTTCATGTTTCCTCTACTGTGGCTGTAAGCTTACTTGTGTTTTTTTTCTTTCCTTTTCTTCATGCTGTCCTTTAGAGCCCTACAGCGAGACAAGTATGGGAGTAAAACTAAACATTGCATATCAAATGTAATTTTTTTAGTACCATTCTCTTCCAGCCACACCTGGGTGATAACTGTGGTTTAAGCCTAGTTGTTCAAGAGATTTTAAATATATAGAAATGTTTGAAAGCTGTACGTTAGATGTTATCTTTCCAGTGAAGCTTTGCATTCAAACATATTCAGTTGGGCTCTTGCTCAGCCTAAATAAATCTTGATCAGCAAGCTTCTGTGGAGGATATTCCATTCCACAGTTTTGTTGTTTCCCCACTTTGTGCACATCAGTCTTTAACCAGAATGGTTACAAATAACATTGGCAAATACAAATAAAATTGAAATATTTGAAAAAAGGTACTACTTTGAAAGTGCATCCAACAATTGTTAAGATGCCCAGGAAAAAACCTTTTGAGGTTGCAAAAGGCAGATTTTCCCAAAACGAAATAAAATGTCTCGGTACCTTTTGTGCATGGCTTGAACTGCTAACCAACATTTTCCAGTGTGCATTAAATCCGAAGATTCTTTTATGTGCCTGGGGCAGATGCATCAGTCTAGATTTGCCTCTGGACAGATATGCCCAGTGTTGTGATGTCAGCAAACTACATAAATGTCTTTAGTGTATAGAATTGGGTAAGCCCCACCCTCCACCACATTTTTTCCCCCTCTAGGTAAATGTGCACATGATTTACACAGACTTGCTAATGTCTGAACTAAACCGGTCTTTAAAATCAAAATGATTCAAAGTGTTTTCACTTCAGACACAATACTCATTTAAAAAGTACAATAGCTTGATGCACTGATGGGGGGCACTGCAGGGTGGGTGTTCTGGAGGGATGAGATCAGATAGGCTGAAGAGCCTTCTTCATCCAAACCGATCCTGTGATCTGAGCTTCTGACTGGAGCCATCCTCTGAATCCAAAGTCAACTATTCGCAACATTGCAAAGTGCTTGCTGGGGATGCTACATGTGCGGTGAGCATATCACATTTAGCGGCAGCGATTGCAGCCAAACCATAACTGTAATTATTTTAATATTTATTTCAACGCTTTAATACACACAAGGGAAAATGTTGAATCATGTGCCTGGCACATTTGGGGAGTGGTCTGTATGCACTGGTAAGCCCATAAAGACATACCTACATCTAAAGATTGTAGATTTCAGCCCTTCTGTGGGTGCATGTATACTGGGCAGAGAAACAGTTTCAACTAAGAAACTAATCAGATTAAAACTGATCTACCCAGACTGATCAATCCTTGCATCATCTTATTTAACAAAGCCGTGGAATACATTCAAATTACATTCCTGTACAGACCTTTACAGTCGGACTGTGACAGTAATTATGAATATTGGAGTTTTATCAAATAAGCACAAGCTGCTTTCTCTGATGAATGGCTATTTGCCATTTTAATTTTACTTTGAAAACAGTGTTTGTGTGTGTTTGAATGGAGGTGGGGGGGTGTTATGTCATATTAACCCGAACCTTTTCATGTACTTTTTATTTCCCCAAATGGTTGATCTTGCTGTTACCGTGGAGTGAAGATTCCACCTTTGTCATTCAGCTGGTCTGTTGTAACTGTATCTGTTTGTGTGCGTGTGTGTGTATGCTTCATCATGCTTTCCATTTTGTCTGTACCTGTGTTCGGTCGATGTGCAACAATTCTTTCAAATCCAGTAATCAATGAAATTGTTTCAATAAAATAAGCCTTCCACAATGTTTGATTCCCAACATTCGCTTTCAATGAACCATTCGCTGGGTGTTGCGAAAGGATCGTACATTGCACATTCTTTAGATTTTTCAATTCTCCTCTCCGTTAAGAGTTCCATTGAAGCTGTTACAGTCACGGTTCTGCACCTCGACCATCAATCTGAGAGCTTCTCCGATACATAATTCAGTAGAATATTAATGTCAATCCTGCTGTATTCTGTCCTGCTTGTTCTGCATTAATGTGACATGCCTGAGAATCTGGCAAGCGTGGCACTTAATTGATCTTTAATTTCAATTTTGGTGACAAGGATAGTTTTTGTGCCAATTTTGAACTAAAAAGTCAAATTTACTAATTTAATGGAATGGAATTTTATATGTTCGTACTTTATTATAATCCAATTCTTGATTGTGTTGCCAGTTCGTTCTTACAGATACTAGGTGACAGACATCAATTGAGTATTCCAGTGGGCAAAGAAGATAGTGTTGAAGGGGACAAACCAATAATATGATCCATGAAATTTTACTGCAAATGTCCTTCTACTTTATGCGACAAAGTGACTGTTATGAAGTGATTCATGATCAGAGTTGGTAATAACAGCTCCAAGTTGCAACTAGTGAGGTAGATTTGTGGCAAACACAGAGCTCCGGATCCCTCCCACTCAGCTCCTGTTAGCCCTGCAAGCCAAAGCCCTAATGGGTTGGGTGGCCCTAGCTGGACAAGCAGCAGGAAAGTTTGGCAGACAGTGCTATCAATGGCAAGCTATGCGGTTTTAGCTGGTTAGACTGTCTCCAAATCTACCCGCTCCCCCTGGTATAAAAGTCACCTCCGCTCCCTCCAAACACAAACTCGGACCCTAAAGTGCAGATGGCACAAATCTGGCCTCACAATCCACCGCCAGCTGTGGCTCGAGCATCTCCGCCTCTCCCAACTATCGCCTCTCCCTCTCGCAGGCCCTTCCAATCTCATAAATTACTGTCCCATTTCCAACCTGCCCTTCCTTGTCAAAGCTCTGGAACGCGTTGTCGCTAACCAGCTTTGCTCTCACCTCTCCCTCCACTCCCTCGTTGAGCCCCTCCAGTCTGGTTTCTGCCTTGCCCACAGTCGTTATCAAGGTCACAAACAACATTCTCTCTCTCTCTGACCATGGCTCCCTCTGCTTCCTCATCCTTGTGGACCTCCCTGCCGCATTCAACACAATTGACCACGCCATCCTCCTCCATCACCTCACCTCCCTTATCCACCTTAGTGGGACTGCACTAGCCTGGTTGGTGTCCTACCTAACAAACCACCTTCAGTTTATCCCTTCAAACTGTATCTCCTCCTGCCCCTGCCCGGTCATCTGTGGTGTACCCCTTGGGCTCCATCCTTGGCCCCCTCCTCTTCCTCTATATGCTCCCCCTTAGTGATGTCATCCGCAGACGCGAGGTATACTTCCACTTGTATGCAGATGACATACAAATCTACTTCTCTTCCATCTGGGACTCCAGGTCTGCTGATGTTCTCTTGGCTTTTCTGGCAGACATCAGGGCCTGGATGAGCGAAAACTTCCTATGACTAAATGTTGACAAGACAGAAGCCATACTCATTGGCTCCCATCGACATCTTCTATCCTGCGGCTCTGACCTCCTCAACCTCCCTGGCCTATCCCTCAGACTTACCGAAATGGTGCGAAACCTTGGCATCAGGTTCAAACCACAGCTGTTTTTCCTTCCCCACATCTGGTCCCTGACCAGAACCGCCTTCCTCCACCTCCATCACATTGCCCTCCTCCAACCGTACCCCAGGTGCAGCCGAAACACTCAACCATGCGTTCATCACCTCAACTATTCAAATGCCTTCTTTGCCAGACCCTCCAACCCTACCATCTACAAAATCGAGTTGATCCAAAACTCCACCGCCCGCATACTCACCCATACCAAACACCGTACCCCCATCACACCAGTCCTAGCCAGGCTCCACTGGCTCCCTATCACCAAACGGTTCGATTTCAAGATCCTCATCCTTTTCAAATCCCTTCATGCCCTGGCACCTCCCTACTTCTCTGACCTGCTTACCCCCCCCAATCCCATTAGGATCTGGTTTATACCAAGTCCAGGTTTGTTATAAAAGTTGTTCCCAATACCACTTCTTACCCTGTGCCAACAGGCATGTTACTATTGTGCTTTCCCATTAAATGTTCTTAGTCAGACTCTAATTCTAAAGTCCTGCTTGAAATCCCATCTTGTGTCATAGAACATCTTGAACCTGAACACAACAGATGCTATGGAGAAGAGGTGTGTTCTCGCTCTCTCTCTGACATATTTTATCGTCCACGTTGCTGGGCCAAATCACTACAGAATTCATTGATTACTGAAGCACTTAAAACGACTGTTTGCACCATCGCCATCCAAGTTTTATTTAGCGTATCTGGTGTGTCACTTGAGATGCTGTGATCTCCGCCTCTCTTTCTCTCGCTCTCTCTCCCGTCCCCAACACAATGCAAACGCTGCTGTTGTTGCCGCTCACGCCATTCTGTGTCGTATTTTTCAGAGGTGTTGCTGAACAATGCCAGGGATACAAGTGTCATGGATACTCTACCACTGAATGGTAACCATGGCAACAGCTACAGCATCGCCAGCGGAGAATACCTGGGTGACTGCGTACAAATCATCGACCGTGGGTACAACCACAGCGAAACCGTATTAGAGAAAAAGATCCTGAAAGAACTCACGTCCAACTATATCCCGTCTTACCTGAACAACCACGAGTGCTCCAGCGAACAAAACAGGAACCTCATGAACAAGCTGAACAACATCGCGAGCAGCATTGAGGACGACGCCATTGTCCTCGACGACGCCACTTCATTCAACCACGATGAAAGCCTGGGCCTGGAGCTCATACGAGAGGAGTCCAATGCCCCTTTGTTACCGCAGAGAGCACACTCGGTCGAGAACCATCAGCCCCATCACTACCCCAGCAACAGAAGACGGATCCCTGAAGATCACAGCGAGAGCTTTTTTCCTTTGCTTACCAACGAGCACACAGAGGAACTGCAGTCACCAAACAGGGATTCTCTGTATACCAGCATGCCCGCTTTGGCAGGCATGCCCATAACGGACGGTGGTACTTCTCAGACCCAAAGCGCTCCAGCACCAGCTAAAAGCAGTGACGGCGATGATGTGTATTATAAAAGTATGCCGAATCTGGGCTCCAGGAACCATGTGCAGCAACTGCACACTTACTACCAGCTCGGGCGTGGAAGCAGCGATGGCTTTATAGTTCCTCCCAATAAGGAAGGCTCATCATCTGAAGGGGATTCAAAAGGACCATCACATTTGGTCACCAGTCTATAGGGGCAAAGACTAATAACCCCAGATACCTTGGTCTGGTTTCTACAAGCAAACAAAGGAAGACGTGTGTGTGTGCTTGACCCTAAATGCTGTTCATAAAACTGCGGAACTACTTAAAGACGTTTTTATTCAGATCAACTTAGCAAGGCACTGCGTGGGAAGCAGCTGATAAGGGAATAGTCTGTTTTAAGGCAAAAAAAGGAGTCAAACTTACTGAACTGTTTGTGAATGGGTTGGACATATATATATATATATGGAATTCAGTTTTGCTTCCTTCAGTAATGCTCAATTTTTAGCTTTTTTTCCTGGTGTCTATTTTCTCAAGGATGTTTAACAGAGGCTTGGCGTAGGTCAGCACCACTTGTAACGGTGTAAGGGTATCAATAGCTTTCTTTTTTTTATTATTATTTTATTATCATTGTATATCAGTCCTGGCTTTATCTCACACCTAGATTCATCTTGCAGTTCATCTTAGCTGCAGAATTCTTCTGGTTCCTATGGTTTACATGAACATGTCCAATATCAGAAAGGGAACCATTAAAATGATATGCTAGTTGCATATTTTATGTTTTTGCTCTAATAATTCTCATTATAAAACTAATGACCGAGAAATTTTGAAACAATTTCTGTGTACAGATACTTGCATTGCACATATATTGTAGTATGCTTTTTTCCTTCCAAACTTTTGTCCCTGTTGATGTAGTGAACAAGACAGTTTTTGTTGTGTTGGTCTTGCAAGTTTTGTCTTGCTTGGTAGGAGCAATGTTTTTTCATGAAGTCTTTCTGTTGGGCATTTTCCCCTAACAGTTCCTTAGAAGACCACAATTTATAAAAGCTCATTTTCTAGTGAGGTGATCACAATAGTTCAAAAATCGGAAAAAAAACTGTTTTAGGTTTTTCTCACTGTGTATTTTGAAGTGGAGTCATGTTTTGCCAACAACAAAAAAAATCAAAATTAGGATTTACAGCAGGTACATTTTTGTTTAAAATGCACTATGTTATTCATAAATGTGTTCAGCAATGGAAGTCCACAAAGGGAGCTAGGCACTCTTCTAGAAACCAAGGAGTCTTGGTAGAAAATAGTGGAACTCGTGCATGTGGGGGGAAAAAAGTAGAAACATTTTTATGTTAAATCTAGTCAAAGCACTAGGCACTTGTACCGTGGTGGTTTAAAAAAAATTGACTTATTAAAATGAAAGTTATTTTGAAGTGAAAAAGACTGGAATTCTCTTATCTTTTGTTTTTCTTTTTCTAACAGAAAATGTATTTATTTGACATTAATTAGTTGATGTAGGAAATCCCTATGGTAATGAACATAGCAGCACACTTGGTAATTCATTTTTTTTTAATTTATGATCCATTTTGTATAGTTTCCGAGTTGAATGACCTCATTACTAATATTTGTTGTAAAAGTGATTCCTGTTTGCCAACAAATAAATGACTGATTACAGATTTACAAAATTGGAGGTGGCTGAAGAAGGTTTTTCTTACCCCATGTACATGTGCCCAGTTATCACTTGTGAGACAATGAGAAGAAACTGCAATGAGTTGTTTTGGGACCATAGTTACTTCCAATTGCTCTTGGTAGATATAAAAATGGTCACTTTCCTGACAATGTGATCTAAGTGAGTTAAGGAACCCGTTCACCCTCCTGCTTTGCTGTGATAGTTGATTGTCTGCATTACACCCTAACTAGCTCTTCATGGGATAGCCAGTATTATAGTGTAATAGTACCATCGCACTATTACAACATTTAAGTAGAATCCATCAATCCTACACGCAGTTATTTTTATAAAAAGACAATTTATAGTTGTATAAACTTTTCCTTTTCCAGCTCCCAATATTTAAGATTGAGCTCAATATTCAATCTTTGTTACTGAGAAACGTACATGAAGGCCTAAGGGTCACAGTGCAGGACATCACCAAGGGTAGGAAAGAGTAGGAGAAACAGTACAATAAACAAAGGAATTGGTGTTGATATGTGATGAAGAACTTGGGGTATATCAGCCCAAGTTATATGATATAATATTATTGATCATGGCAGGAGAGAAGATCGAAGGGAGGTAAGATATCTTGCTGTTGTGAAGTCCTAGGAAAGAATGAGAGAGAAACCTTTTTTTAATCGTTGAAGAAAGAAGAGTGAGTTGGAATATCATGTTTGAGACAACAAAGAAAGTTTGAGGTGAACTAGTATTAGTACAATATCTCTGATTACATGCTTCTTAATGCTGAAAAATCTGGTCAAAATCTTAATGAACTGTGTGCATTAATGTCCCAAAACTTGATTTTAGTGTGTTATTTGATCCTTGTTTGTTTTCCTTTTTGCCTGTGCAATGAATCTTTTTAGAATTGCAGTTGCATACACTGAAATCTCACTACAAAATGGGGAAAGCTACAGCAAAGGCAGCCAAGCCAGGATGATATGAAGATTCCCAAGCCCTTGACAAGCACCAACCTCTGTTATGTCTACCGGATGATCAAAAAGACATTCAGGGCTCTCATTAATACAGTTGAACGATGGAAAAAGATGAATCATCACCAACCTTTTATGTTTAATGTTATTACAGAGAATAAATTCTCCAACATCCTAAAATGTTCACCTGCATTAATCAGGCTAGACTATTGAACATGAAGAAAAGCTTAATAAAATCCGATACACATCGTAATGTACTTTGTTCTCACTCAGCTTCTTATATTGATTAGTTTCTTTAATCTTTCTCTAGAATTTTGTTCTGCATTTTATTTTCTCTATGCTGCATCTTCTTATTTTTTTTCATTCCTGCCTCATAATATATTTGTTTTCCATTCCACAGTTGACTGCTCATATTTTGTTACCTTTCTAGAATTTATTATAAGGTTAAACATAGCTAAGCAATAATTAACTACTTTCTTTCCCAGGTTTTCTCCTTTACACAACTTGTAGTTGGCCATTTGAACCGATAATATATTGGTTGGAAGTCACTTACTCTACCACTTTGCTAACCAGGTTAGTTTTGTTTCATGGTTTGTGTGACTGCCAATATCAGAGGAAACCATGCTCACAGCCACATCAATCTATACTTCTAAATTGGGACTGGCTGCCCTAACCCAATATTCACTTAAAATCCACATGTTCTGTTCATTTTGTTTTTTACATTGGAAGTGGAAATAATTCAATACTGTAAATACTGAGCAGATATATTTAACCCAAACCTGACCACTGTGTGCTATCACACAAAGCAAATAATGCACAATTTAATTCAATAGATAACAAGCAATCAGCTGATTCCCAAAGCAGTACTCGATTTTCTAAAGCCAAAAATGAGAATATAGTTTTGACAGCAGCGAAGTCTTTCCTAAATTAAAGCAATTAATTACCTTTGTGTAATTATCAGCCAGGTGTTTTGACACATGTGAAATCCCTTCACCGTGCTTAAAAGTATCTAAGCAGAAAATTCCATGCACCCCACCTACCCAAGTAAATTCTAAAGATAAATTGATGGAATGGAATGAGTACTCTATCCCTGGAGTGATTCATCCTGCTTACCTAAATCTGGAAAATATTAGGTGCAGGTTGGCAAGAGCCAAGGCTTGGGGACCTCAGAGTAAACGTTGAGGTAACTGCTGGAGTCTAACCAGTTAAAACCGAATAGCTTGCCATTGGTAGCACTGTCCAGCAAGCTTTCCCACTGTTTGTCCAGCTAGGACCACCCTACCCATTAGGGTTTTGGCTTACAGGGTTAACAGGAGCTGCAGGAGATGACTCCCTGTCTCCAGTGACAGGTCCAAGGAGATCCCACTTACCTCCCCCTGCCCAAGGAGGATAGTTACTAGTTTGTTGTTTGGTAGGTACCAGGAACACCCTGCTCAGCATGAAATACGTGAGAGCATTGCTACCATCTTCCTTGGGCCAGGCAGAGCCATGATTCTACAACTGGGGGCACCCACCACCAAGTACCACTGGTTGGTCCAGTATTCAAGATGGCGGGTGCAGCGCAGAAGGACCTTCTGTGAGTCCACCAGCAGCTCAGGATCATCCATAAACACGTGAGCCCATGTGAGTCCATCAGAAGCTCAGGATCATCCACAAATGGAAGGAATTATTGCCACAATCCTGTCGGAGAGGCCTGGAACAGATACACCAAATCCTTCCTCCCTTGATGCCATCCAACACACATCGAACAGGATGGGTGACAATGGGTTGCCTTGCCTTACCCCCATTTCCAGAGGGATGGACTCAGTGTCAACCGTTACATGGATCTTGGAGCTGAATTACACATTCTGGATAAAATCCAAGATTTGGCTATGCAGTTTCACCAGGAGGGCTTCACAGGACAAAAGGTCAAAAGCGTTGTGCAAGTTGATGAATGCTGCTTAAGTGGATTTCCCTTTAGCCTTGGGCAGTGGGCATATCTATTTGCAAAGGCCTTACAACACATCTATTAGGGCTCTGTGGGCTTACTTTCAGTGGGACAGATCATTCCAGGTAAGGAGTAAAGAAAGCAGGGAGGAGCAGCTGGGGTCCGAGGCATTTCTGGCTAAATGAAGTTTCAATTATATGTTCTTTCAGATCATCCTTTTCTGGTTGACTTAAGGTTAACAGCATTTTCTGAACCCTTGACTGACATAAGACACACAGTCAATACCAAGCTTGTCCACTAAGGATGCGCGAATTGTTGGGTCTGGCAGGAAAGCCCAACTCAGCATGCAGAGCACATCTATTAGGAGATGCAGAGGTTACTAAACTAGTCACATGGAGGTCTTCTGAGAGCACAAAAGAAATATTCATTACAAATTGGTTAGAACTAGTTGATTAACCATGTGGAACAGAGAACAATTACAGGAGCTTAGATGATTGTGTTTTTTTAAAAAATATATAGCTCAGGAGTTGAAGTATGTGAGTAAATCCCCTTGACCTTGGCACTTATTGAAAAGATGCGTTGGTTTAACCTTTTAGCATTCAACACACAGGGATACCAGAATGTAGAACACAGAATGAACAAAATGGGTTAACATATCAACAGTTTATTTACTTTGGAAATAACTTGTGCTGCAGGGCTCTAATTTACTCAAATATCACTGTGGAATTGAGCATCCAAAACATCTAGGCTCCACTACCCCAACTCCCAACTTGTCGGCCTTCCTAAACTCTTCCCTCCAAAAACTGCATATCATCCAGAACTCTGCATCTCATGTCCTCTCCCATACCAGGCTCGATGATCCCATCACACCCACCGTCAACCGGCTCCAATGGCTCCCCATTCCCCAGAGGTTAGAGTTCAAAATCCTCTTCCTCGCCTTCAGGGCCCTCCACGGTCTTGCGCTTTCCTACCTCTGTGACCTGCAAATACCATATCAAACCATCCGCTCCCTCTGCTCAGCAAGCTCTGGCCCACTCCATATCCTTCACCCGGCCCGCCCCACCATTGACAGTCAGGCCTTCAGTTTCTCTGCCCCCACCCTTTGGAACTCCATTCCACATTCCTTTTGCCTCGCTCGCTCCCTTACCTCCTTCAGGGCATGTCTCAAGATGCTCCTCTTTAACTACTTTTTGCCTACCTCCTACCCTCCCTGCCATCACCCTCCCTTATCCCAAACCCCTCCGCTCAGCTCAGGTCCAAATCCCTGACTGGGATGTCCTCCCAACATGAAAGGCACTATACAAATGTAATTTTATATTGTATTGTAAAACAGTCTTAACATCACTGCCTCTAGGTCTTATAGATTCATAGAATCTTACGGCACAGAAGGGAGCTATCCGGCCCATCGTTTCTGTGCCAGCTCTTTGAAAGAGCTATCCAACTAGTTCCACTCCCTCGCTCTTACCCCATAGCCCTGCAATGTTTTCCTTTTCAAACTACCGTGGAATCTGCTTACACCATCCTTTCAGGCAATGCATTCCAGATTGTAACAAATTTCTGGATAAAACAAAATTCTCCTCATCTTTCCCTCTGGTTCCTGTAGCTTAGTGGTTAGAGCACTCGCTTTGCAAGCGAGAGACCTGAGTTCAATTCCAGGCAGAGGGCGAAACCTTGGGCAAGTTTCCTTACTCCACACAGAGCCTAATAATAATCCCTCCAAAACCAAAAACAATAATAAATTGGTCATTTTCAATCCACGACTGTTTGTGGGACATTGCTGTGCGCAATTGGCTGCCGCGTTTGCCCACAAATATACAGTCAATTCACTTTACAATGTGTTCTGTGAAGCGCTTTGGGACGTCCTCCCGACATGAAA